GGGGGAGAGAGGGAAAGAGAGAGGTGAGGGAGAGAGAGAGAGAGGTAAGGAGAGAGAGGGAGGAAGAGAGGGAGAGAGAGGTAAGGAGAGAGAGGGAGGGAGGAAGAGGGAGAGAGGGAGGGAGAGGTAAGGAGAGGGAGAGAGAGAGGTAAGGAGAGGGAGGGAAAGAGAGGGAGAGGGAGAAGGAGAGAGAGAGGGAAGGAGAGTCAACCCTAGGCCTAGCTCAAGTCACAAAGCGTTTCATTATTTGTGTGTGTGTCTGTGTAGCATTTCTAACTCGCAGGCTTCAGACAGCGTCCTGGAAGCTGTGACCTCCACGCTGAAGAAATACCCCTTTGACTTCCGGGGAGCCAGGATCCTGAGCGGAGAGGACGAAGGCTTGTTCGGGTGGGTCACCGCTAACTACCTCCTGGAGAACTTCGTCAAGGTAGAACCTCCTCTCCTTTCCTCGGGGTTGTTTGCAAAACGGAAAGTCCGCTGCTCTTCCTCCGAGCCTTGTGCCGTTGGCCGGTCTTGCTCTGACGTCAGCGCAGGATCACAGCCCGGTTGGCCATTGGTTCAGCTTCATGACGTCACAGAAGGCCCGCCTTGTCTTTGTTGTCCCCCAAACTGGTCTCTTGCTTGGTGTCGAAGCCGATAAGTCACTGGACACAAGGTGTGGTACAAAATTATGCTTTTATTTTTGGTACCAAGATATAAGGACCTTATAAGGGCCTAAGTGAGAATCTTTTCAGCAATTGTTTATAGCCAAGGAGTGGTCGCATACAACCTTTGCCCTTCCCCTAATTATGCACCCATAACAGATAACATTGATTGGTTGCTTAGATCTCAGTCCCCTACATAGCTAAATGTCGCATCACCCGTGGTTCTCCCCAGGTCACGGGTATCTTGCAACGTGTCCTAGTTTAATGTGCCAGCTATGTGGTTTTTGGCTAGTGGTTTAAGGTGCTAACTTCTTGCTTGCTAAGAATGTGCAGTTCCAACCGCTTTCCTATTGTGGAGCAATTCAAGATAGCACCTTCCCTTTTGTAGAGAGGGACAGGAACAGAAATGAAGGCAAGAGAAAATGTGGTTTCTTTTATTATCAGAATTCATATTCCTCACGCTCGCGTCCATTCCATCCATTCCTGGGTGCTCTCTCCACACACGACCCTTCCTCTGATCCCCAGGGCCTCCTCTACGTGCCTACGTGCCGTCCCCTGATCCTTCATCTTCTCTTCCCAGTACGGCTGGATCGGGCGCTGGATCCGCCCCAAGAAGAGCACAGTGGGGGCCATGGACCTGGGCGGGGCCTCCACCCAGATCACCTTCGAGACCACGGGGGCCATCGAGAGCCCCTCCAACCAGGTGACGCTGAAGCTGTACGGGCAGCACTACAAGGTCTACACACACAGCTTCCTCTGCTACGGCATGAATGAGATCCACAACCGGCTGACCTCCAAGATTCTGAAGGTACCTGTGATGACCCAAAGGGGTGTGGCCCAAAGGCAACACAGTCCAAGAAGCAAGAAGAGTCCCTTTAGGACCTCCAGCTTTGCCCCCAATGTCCAGGTTATCTTCAGCTGGAATAAAAACTCTCCCAGGAACAGTCTTTAAGTGGAGAAAATTCAGTCCGAAAACAAAGTACATACAAACTAAATCAAAATCCACACAAACGACGCTGCAGTAATTAACTGGACAGGGCAGGAGAGGGAATTGCGGACTTGAAAACCCGGCAAAACACACAGTTTGGGGAAGATGCCAGGAACCCAGATAAGCCTCAACGATACCAGATAATTCATGATTTGCTCCCAACAAGCAGCTTCCCTTTTTAAACTGTGTTCCCAGCTGCAGCTAAGGAAGGGAATCAGGGCCCTTTCCTCCCCTGTAAGCCATGCAACTCACATTGCTCCCTTCTCCATTCCTCCCTCATGCCCTAGGATGAAGAGGGGTCTGGGTCTTCCTCTGAACCCCCTCTCCCTTGTTCTACCTCTGCCCAGCTGGACTTTGCCCTTCCCCAGTTTCTTCCCCAGCCAACAGAGCCACCCTCCCACTCCCTGTCAGCTGCTCCGCCTCCCCCTCTGAATCAGATTCCTGACAGGGGCATGACAGTGCACCCCCAGTGGGTGGTTGTGGTGCAGGGACCAAGGCTGGGGGTTTATAGGGGCCTCTCAGCTGGGAGGGGCTCTCCCAGGTCAGAACATTCCCGAAGGTGGGTGCTGCAAAGGGGCCCCTCAACTGCAATGTGGGGAAAGGGGCCCGTGCCCCATCTTTGTGAGGGCTTGTGGGGGAGGTTACCCTTCTCTTCTGCTTCACCATCCCCTCTCCTGTGTTTTCCTATTGCAGGCTAGAGCCTACGCCCTCCGACTGGACAACCCCTGCTGGCCACAGGGATTCAAGCGCAGCTTCCCCATGGAAAGCATCTACGGGTCGCCCTGCACCCGCACCGAGAGGCCTCCCAACTACTTCCCCATGGCCATGGTGAACATGAGCGGCTCTGGAGACCCTGCCCAGTGCTTGGCGCACGCAGAGAGCCTCTTCCGGTTCACAGACTGCCCTTATTCCAGCTGCTCCTTTGACGGGGTCTTCCAGCCCCCCGTGCAGGGAAACTTTATTGTGAGTCTCACGGACGGCTGGGCTTGGGGGGGTGTGTGTGTGTCCTGGGTCATCTCCTGGAACTGAAGCAATGAAGTTGTGGGAGCTCTGTTGAGGTAATTCCCCGTTAGGAGAATGAGCGTATACAGGGAGACGTAGAGAGAGTAGTGTTGGAATAATACACACACAGTACAGAGATACACTGTACAGTAAATGTAGGTTTTTACTTCCAGACAGTTTAAGCAAAGTTCAAGATAAGCAGTCCAAAATCATTCACAAGTAAATCAGTCAGTTTTTAACCCAGGGATAATCCAATAACAAATATATATATATTTGAGATATATTATCCTATATATTTGACTGTTTAAAAATGAGTTGTATTGGCCCCATTGGTAATACCACTTTAAGGATCTTAAAGCAAATTTTTAATTCCGTCTTTTTCTTCTTCTTCTTCTTCCCTTAAAGGCCTTCTCTTCATTTTTCTACACGGTGGATTTCCTCCGGTCAGTGATGAAGAGACAGGTAGCCACTCCAAAAGACCTCAAAGAAGGCGCGGAGGCCGTCTGTAACACCCCGTGGAGTGAGGTGGGTTTGTTCCCCCGGATCTTCCTTCACTTCCTTCAACCAAAGCCAAATTCTTTCAGCTAGTCATCACTAATTCCACTCCACCCCCCGCCGGAACATAAACCTGAAATCCTTTTTTTTAAAAAAAAATGGGTTTAACCTTGAATTGAAATGGAGAGTGCAGTGGTTCGTGGGCTGGTAGTTTTAGGGGTGGGTCATGTGGTCCAAACCTCCAAACCAGGCCTACCTCACAAGTCTGTGGTGAGAATTAAAAAGGGGAAGATGGAATCATGGCGATTTCCTCGAAGCAGCTGCAAAAGGAGGAGATGAGCGCAGTTCAGGTCTAAAAGGAGCCTGCTTTCCACTCACATGTCTGGGGGCCGAAAAGACCATTGCCCTTTGTCAGAGGAACGTGGGGTGGGATAAAGGTCCGTCAATGAAACTGGAGAAAAATGGCTCAGCTATTAAGGATAAGTCGAGAGGAAGAAAACCCGGAGGATGCCCAGGAGGATTTGGAGAAGGAACCCCTCAAAATATGGCCTGGCTAACAATGAATTGCAGATGAACCCTCCAAGGTGGTCTATGACTACATATTTGATGATGATGATGATGAAGAGGAGGGGGAGGAGGAAGAAGAAGAAGGGGAAGGAGAAGAAAGAGAAGGAGGAGGAGAAGGGACCTTGGAATGAACGTGGAATAAATAGCACTTAGCAGTGGCGTTTAGACTTATACACCGCTTCACAGTGCTTTTACAGCCCTCTCTAAGCCGTTTACAGAGTCAGCCTCTTGCCCCACCAACAATCTGGGTCCTTGTTTGACCCACCTTGGAAGGACGGAAGGCTGAGTCAACCTGGAGCCTGGTGGGATTTGAACTGCAGGCAGCCGGCAGTCAGCAGAAGTAGCCGGCAGGACTGCACTCTCACCACTGCGGCTCCGCCTAATTTGTGGCGTGTGTATGTGTGTGTGTGTGCATGCGAATAATCTTTCTATCACCATCAGAAAGGGGAGGAAATAGTGTGTGTGTGTGAGAGAGAGAGAGAGAGAGAGAGAGAGAGAGAGAGAGAGAGAGAAAGCAGCTGCTCTTTCAAAGGCCTCAACTCATCCTGGGCATTTCTTTCTGCCACTCCAGCTGCTCAGGAAGGAACCAAATCTGGAGCACTATTTGCAGAACTACTGCTCGATGGCCACCTTCGTCTCGTTGCTGCTCACCCGGGGCTACTCCTTCAGCAACACCACTTTTCCCAGCATAGCCTTCCAGCAGAAGGTAAGGCTTGCAGGGCACTTCTGCAGTGGATGGGGGTCAGCCGTGGGTCCTGAGAGCAGCTGCTGGATTGGGGCACGCAAGCCGAAAGGGGGAGACTTTATGCAACGGCGGCTTTTTTTTCGCTTTTTGCAGGCCGGGGACACGACCATCGGCTGGGCGCTGGGCTACATGCTGAACCTCACCAACATGATCCCGGCGGAAGAGCCCAGCTTCCGGAAGAGCACCAGCTTCGGCCCCTGGGTTGGCCTCATCCTCCTCTTCGTCGCCGTCCTCCTGGGCAGCTTGGTCAGCATCTTCTGCCTGATGAAGTCCTCCAAGGGCCGAGGGGCGGTGTAAAGACCTCTCCTTTCCCGCCTTTCCCTGGTCTTTCACCGGGAACTCCGGCCTTTTGCCAAACCTCAGGAAGGAAGAAATCAAGACATATGGAAGAGCCAATTCTGCACAGGGAGCAGGCGGTGCCTCGCATGGATCCTGGGCATATGCAGCCCCGCCCCCGCTTTCCTGCCTTTCCCCCCCCCCTGTGTCACCCCCACTTTGAGAAAAAGGTGCTGCCGTTGACAGGGAAAGCTTCTGTTGACCCCGCCCCCCCCGGCCTTCCCTTTGTCCTGCTTCGTTGTTAGACTCAGGAATTTGTAGCCAAGGGCCCACCCAAAGCTCTTGACCCAACGAGACGCTGCCCCCACCCCAGGACAAAGGACCCTGGTAGGAATTATTGCCATGAATCTCTTTCTTTTTAACTATGGACATCGGAAAGTGTGATGCCCTCCCCCAGCTGCCTTCAAAAACGGGGGTCCCTTAAAGAGCAAATGTGTTTGCTACGGAAACTTTTAACGGGGCCCAGTGCCTACTGGACTCCTTCGCTGGGGGTTGGGGGGTGGTGTATGTGTGGTCCTAGCACTTAGACAAATTGTCCCAGTTGAGCCTCAGACTTTGGGGAGTGGTCTTTCGTGGACTTCTGACTGATGCACAATGGCAGGACTTCCATTCCTGTACAAACCAGGTCTGGCTTTTGGAGATGTTCTCTTTTAGGGGAAAGGAAATCCAGCAAGCTGCCATCAGCTCTGTCGCTGAGATAAACTTCTCCTTCTCCACTTAGTAGATCAACGAGAGATCCTCTTCTCACCCACACACATCTTCTACTGACCCCCTTAAATCAAAGCACGTTGCAGGAACAAGGCCTCCTTTGGTGTTTTCCTTGGCAGAGAGGGAGTCTGAATGCCCTTTAACCTCTGGGAATCTTTCTTTCCAAATCTTTTTCCGGAAGTTAGGAGACAACTTCCTTTCTTCCGGCAAACCTGTTGAGGTAATTCCCCGTTAGGAGAATGAGCGCATACAGGGAGACGTATAGAGAGTAGTGTTGGAATAATACACACACAATACACAGATACACTGTACAGTAAGTGTAGGTTTTTACTTCCAGAAAGTTTAAGCAAAGTGCAAAATAGGCAGTCCAAAGTCATTCACAGGTAAAATCAGTCCGTTTTCAATCCAGGGATAATCCAAATATCAAATTCCAGTGTCAAAAACACTGCAGTATCAGACTGAAGTGATACCAGTCAATTAGAAGAAATGGAGCAGGCAATACTTTCCAACAGAAGGAAACAGAGATACACTTGTACTCTCTTCTGAGACTCAGACTAAAGAAACCAGGTTTCTGGCTCCATCTTATGGCCGTTTGAGAAACCACACCCAATTGCATGCTCTTGCATTCCCTTAAAGAGACTATCTATCCTGGTTTATATATTTCTAACCCAAATACCTGTTAGGTGACTTATATTCCTAACAAAAAAACACCCGAGTTTCTGTGTTATTTGCACTCCTGGGTGTCACACTCATCCACGAGACTAAACCTTTCAAACGAGGTCTCCTTCAGGAATTAAGAATAATCCAAAATTGAATTTATATTTTTGAGTTTGTTTTGGGTCCTTCCATTTCTTCCATACACATATAGAAAAGTTGTCCCTTCTGGATTTGCCAGGATTGTACAAAACAATTGCTAGTTGTGTTGCAACCCTATTGGACCGCCCCTCTGGCAACCTTAAAAATATACCTAAACACAGTCAGACGCAAATAATTAAAATTCAAAGGAGAGATGTCCAAAGTAGACAATTCCTGCCCAAGGGATTGAGGAATAGAAGCTGCAAAATTGCAATTTTCCATTATTTTCCCTAGGAATAATTCACACAGAAAGTAATGAGCTTTTATTTCCAAGTAGAAGTTTGCACTGGTGACAGCTGTTTCCTGCCCCACATTGTGTGAATTTGAGACGAAGTCAGGATAACTGTTTTTATTTTAATGGCGCACTGTTGTATAATATTAAAACAAAACAAAAAACACCAACTATCCAGGATTTGGGGAAGGGTTGGGTTGTTGTTTTGGTTTTTTTTTTTGGTATTTTTTACCTTGATAGTGCAACAATATTAAAGTCTCCCACAGTTGGCTTCTGCAAAAAATAAAATAAAAATATTTTTGGGGTGGGCAGAAAAACACTTCCAGAACTGCAAACTGGGGAGGTGGGAAAGAGGGCGGGTGTAATGGGAAGGGGGCTCCCTGCCTCCTGTTTGGATCCTCCAATTCCACCAGCGTGTATTTCTTTGTGCTTTTCTTTGGTGCCTTTGCAAGTCTGGTTCCAGATTGTACTCTGTCTGTTTTCCATGTAAAGAAAACAAAGTGATGCTTGCCTTAAAGAAATCATAATAAAAACTCGCATAGCGACTGACCCGGTTGGTCCACTTTATTGGGAAGGTTTTGACCTCTTGGTGGAAACATCCCGCAGTGCTTGATGGTGTCCTGCTCCAGTGCCCGGGGTGGCTGAGTTGTATGATCCTGGTTTGTTCTCGTGCCCTGGGTGGCTGAGCTGTATGATCCTGGCTTGTTCTGCAATTGCAGCTGTGCCCTCTTTCGCACGGGTGGCTGAGCTGTATGATCCTGGTTTGGTCTTGTGCCCTGGGTGGCTGAGCTGTATGATCCTGGTTTGTTCTGCAATTGCAGCTGCGCCCTCTTTTGCCTGGGTGGCTGAGCTGTATGATCCTGGTTTGTTCTGCAATTGCAGCTGTGCCCTCTTTTGCCCGGGTGGCTGAGCTGTATGATCCTGGTTTGTTCTGCAATCGCAGCTGTGCCCTCTTGTGCCCAGCACCTGCCTTGCTATCCTACGCAAGGGCTGGCTTTCCGAGGGCGAGCAGTGAACCATCGGCCGGGCGTCTGGAGGTAGCTCCCTCCGGGAGAATCGGGGGGGCTGTAGGCGCTCGTCCTTGGGGAGCGGGCAGCACCTTAAGCCCTCCCGTGGTTTCCCTTGGCTCCCCCCCCCCCCCGCCGTCCCAAGGCGGGCGGCGCTTCTTGCGGGCTAATCTTCCCCGCCGCTTTCCTCTTGCGCGCCCAGGGGAGCCGGGCTGGCCCTGGGGCAGAGAGTCCATGGTGCTGAATTAGCCCTTCTTGGGGATGCTAAACGGGAATCGTGGTTTGCAGCAGCCGTGAACGCAACACGGAGCACAGCAAACGATAAAGCGGCCGGCAGAGCAAGGACGTAAAGCGTGGTTCGAGGCGGAGGCAGCCGTGGTTTGAGGAGGGGGCGCGCGCTCAAGGCGACCCCGGCCAGGCGGTGGCTCCGCGCGCAGCCGCCCCCGCCTGCGCACCTGCTGCCGGTGTTGGCAGGTGGGGGCGGCGCGGGCGGGGGAGGAGGCCTCGGGGCGGGCGGCGTCATGGGCCGGCCTCCTGCCTGCCCCGCCCCGGCTCCGCCAGCGCCCCGCTCGCCTCCGGTGCCGCAGCCCTCTTGCGCGGCGCCGCTGCTGCTGCTGCTGCTGCGATGCTCCCGCGAGGAAGCAGCCGCTGAAGGATGAGCGCCGCTGCCCGCCGCCGGCCCTGCCTGCCCCGAGTCCCTCCGACCCCGACGGTGCTGCTGCCGCCGCCGCTGCTGCTGCTGCTGCTGTTGCTCCTGCCGCCGCCCGGCGCCTGGGGACTGCTGGCCAACCCCGGCGGTAAGCGCGCCCCGGCCCTTCCCCGGGCTGCGGAGCATGGGCCAGGG